CTCCCATCCAGGTACTGGCCAGGCTCACACCTGCTTAGCTTCAGTGGGTTGCCAGTTGTGAGTTGCAGGGTGATATGGCTGCTGGTAGTAGCTGCTGCAGTGATGTTAGTAGTTGTTATCAGTAGTAGGATCAGCTGCAGTATTATTAGCAGTAGGAGCAGTATTGGTACTCTCTGGACTGGGCTCCGAAATCACACTGGGAAGGGGGTTTAGAATCGCCTGTTCACCTATTCATCATCATCATCATCATCATCGTCATCATCATCTTTATTTTATACAGCGAAATCCGATGCGTCCGGCCGCCACAGTGGGAGACCGAGATCTTGGGGTCACTGTTGGCACATTCAACACCCACACGACCCCGACACGCTGAATAGCCACGACAGGTGACAAAGAAATGTGTTTTTTCATTGAAACGTCTGGTCGGTTCTGGGGGGTGCTAGCGCTGGCTATTGGTCGGGGGGTCGCTGTTATTGAACCCGGACCGCACGGACTCCGGCTGCGAGCGCTGGGTCGGTTTAATGGCCAAGGGAGGAGCAGAGCTGAGCTTCATCACCCGGACAGAAAGCATGGTGAGTTCGCTCGTCTCTGTGTCTCTGCCTCGGCGCCTCGTCGTCATTGTCATCGCTAGAGTGCAGCTGTTGTTTTTCGTAGAAGCGGTGGCTTGCCGTTACAGTGTAAAAACGTAGGAAAATAACAATGGATTATTATTATTAATAATAATTAAACGACCTCTTTTTCACAGCATATGACATCGTTTTCAATTTTTAATAAGCGCGAATCGGTGCGTGATTACAAGACGACAAAATCAATGAGTGGGCCTTTGAGACGTGTGAACTGATTTCTGGCTAAAAACGAATTATAATCGGTAATAGCTGAGACAGATGTTTAAGTAGGAGATGGAAATGGGAAAGAGTTTTATCCACTGGTGCGGCGTGTCCCTAAGAGGTCAGGCGAGCGCCGGGCCATTGCACAGTCACGTGACCAGCGAGCCGGCGTTCCAGAACCGGACAGAACCGCGCGCGGCCGTTCTCGCGCTGCGCCCGGGGTCCGCGCGAGGCGCATTGTGCCGCAGCGCCAGTGCTGACCAGCGCAATAGCTCGTGTTCAGGAAGGGCCTCTTCCCAAACAGGGCAGATAAAAGCGAGCCCTGTTTCCAGAGCGTACAAGACAAAGCTGTATGCATCCTTTAAACTGACACACCAACAGTATCAGGGAAAGAAATGACATTTAAAAGCTGCTTTGGTTGCAGCGTAATGACATGTACCCACGTCTGTTATTTAATAACACGTTTTCTGCATGTCTAGGATTATAATAAATTTCCCTCATGGTATGGTTCTTAAAATACATTTAATAATTTTTCCTTCATACCACATTTCCATAAGAACCCAGCAGCCCGGTCACTCTCTGCAGGGTGTGTCTGAACGCTACGCCTGTCCCATGTTTTACAGAGCGGGGGCTACGATGTCGAGCAGTTCGTCGAGACCCCAGACCCCGACCTGGTCTGCACCATCTGCCGCGGGGTCCTGCGCTGTCCGGTCAGAGTGGCGTGTAACCACGTGTTCTGCAAGAGCTGCATCCTGCAGTGGCTGAAGAGGTAAGACGTCCAGCTGGACAGCGGTCACACAGCAAAAGCCACGCTTCACACGCCGCTGGCCGAGACCGGCCGCCAACCTGCTCTGACCGCCCCCTGGTAACCGGGTGTAACCGTGTCCTCTGCAGGCAGGAGAGCTGTCCGTGCTGCAGGAAGCCGGTCACCGCCAGCATGATGTTCGTGATGTACAAGCTGAGCAAGTCCATCAGCCGCTTGAGAGTGAAGGTAAGGAGCTACAGCTGAGAACCTCCTGCTTTACTCCAGCCTCCCCTGTCAGACACCCTGACCTCACGGGTCAGACGTGACGCTCCGAGCGTCTCCAGCATCATCCGTGAGCCACAGACTCGAGGACACGGTCTGTCCTGTGGTGAAGGGCACTTTCAACTGCATGCAGGAGGGCAGGAGGGCAGGAGGCACGTCTTTACATGAATGGTTGTAGGGGTCAGGAACAAGTCGCCCAGCCAGGAAGCAGGCGGATGAGACACCACCGCTAGTCTTTGAGATCAGATTTTTGAATTTTGATTTTAACAAGGCACCTCAGGGTAAACAAGGCGTTCGGACCAGAATTCTGCGCCGAACCGTATGACCCAAATCAAAGCCGCCGTTCTGTAGCCCGAGCGCTCGGCTCTGCCCTCGGTCACCCCGCTGTCTCTCCGCCCGCAGTGTGGCAACGAGGCCAGCGGCTGCGCGGCCACCTTCCCCCTGGCGGACCAGCACTGCCACCGCTCCGGCTGCCCCTTCGAGCCGTCAGCCTGCCCGCACGAGGGCTGCGGCGCCCAGCTCCCGC